ATGGTTGAACTACTTACCCACCACCTACATGAAACAATATGATTTCATTTCTAGGTTTATTTTAAAAATATCAAATTTCATTGCATTAATAATTATTGTGTATAGATTTATTAGTAGAATTTAATATTGAGAAACGAAAGTATTAATGTTGGATTCAATGAGAGAGGATGTGACTTATTTAATGACTTAAATGTGAGACTTAATGAGAGATAATTGAATGTATTTAATAGTATTGCTTTAATTACATTTTCTACCCTTACAATGGAGGTGAACCAAATTCAAGAGAAGGGGTATTTTAGTAAAAAAATTCAGAAGCCAATACCAATCATTGCAGTAGTAGAAGATGGAGAGTGGACCTTGACCTTTGACGAAAGTAGTACAAACACCTCCGCCGAAGCTAGAGTCACACTGACTTCGCTTGCCGGAGATACCTCAACCTATTCTTTCAAGTTTCAATTCCCTTTTTCACACAACATAGCTGAGTACGAGGCACTAGTATTGGGTTTGACAGTGGTCAGGGACTCCGGAGCAAAGAAAGTAAAAGTAATAGGAGCTAACCTTTAGATCTCCATCTAAAGCAAATGATCCAAGACATCCTCGAACTTGTTCACGTGTTCTTGTAGGCTTCCTTTTTGCCCATTATATTGTGGCCACTATTGAGGAAGGATGTAGCCGGTGGGGTATGGTTTGTATAGGATTCGGTCAAAGTAAGGTTTCTGGAGAATGAGTGAGGCTTGGCTCCTGTTTTGGTTCTCCACCATCAGCCCCTAAACATACTCTTTCAGTTCATTGTGACTGAGTGGTGCTTCCGTTACCAAGTTGGTCTGTGGAGTGGCTCGGGGTGTTCGACAATGGGGAGGTTATCTTGTGTGGGCACAGGGCCGGTTCTAGGAGGCTGCTCAAGGATGACAGGGTTTTGGTTAGCAAACTGTTGATAGGTAGGAATGGATCGGAGGGGACGACTGAAGTGAAAGGGGATCGTTTGATCCCGGATGACCGTTGGAGGAGTAGTTGTAAGGTGCTCCTCATTTCATTTTGCATTTGCTCCATTCGGTTGAAATGAGACTCAAACTCGTACACTTTGTTGGATAGTATATCGATTTTGACTTGTTCAACTGATTTTGGGCCAACCTGATCTCTGCCTCCAGGTTGACGTTTTCCTGTTCATTGATATGCTCTTCGGGGATAGGGGAGAGGTTAATCTTGCGGGCGGCCATCCTCTGTGATCAAGGAATAACCAGAGATTCTAATGTGAGTAGGGAGGTAAGGCTACGTGCGGGGGTCTCCTTGAAGGACAAAGGAAAGCCGAGAGCTGGAGGTAAACTGATTGCTAGGGCGAATGAAGTGATAGAATGATGATCTCATTATGAGTTGGACCCCTATTTATAGGGAGAGGTCCTGAGATCCCGAAAGGAAGGAGCCAAAAGTGTTTGATTCCCATTAGGAAAGGGAATCTTGGATTCAGTGTCAGTTGTCATGGAAAACTGCTAGGGTTTCGCCAAGTGTCTTATGAGATATCTCAATGATGAGCTTTCCTTTCGTCTGAGGATTTTCATAATACATGTGTGCTACTTCCTTTCGCAAGTCTTTTAAATTGATGCGGCATGGATGACGTCACTACTTATCTCGCACGTCCTCTCTAATCCTACGAGGCGTCCTGCCACGCACGTTATTAGTGACGCATGTGTTTCTTTTACTCATTTCTAACCTGCGATGAGCTTGAGCTCATTGCGGTTGTGCGATGACTTTAAGCTCATCACAAGTTTGCACGGGTCTTGAGCTCATCGGAACTCATTTCAGGTCATGAACTCATTGCATGTCTATGCGGGTTTCAAGCTCATCATAGATGTGTACTGAATTATGAACTCATCACTATCATTCATGTGGTATTGGTTTAGCACCTTCTGTGCTCTCATGGTCTAGGTGATCATCATACACCTACAATAGGAAGAGGTAGGCCCTGAGGATCCTAACACAGACCTAGTTGTAAAAAATAGAAATACATTCAACACAGACCTAATTGGGGTCAAAGCTATAAGAGGAATTAACGATAGTTGACCTAGCTGAGGAACGAGAATCGCCTAATCCCATACAAATTAGTGCCAAGCTCATTGAAGCAAGAAAGAGATCATTTAATCACGCTCCTAAAAAGAATACAAGAACGTTTTTTCATGAACCTATTATGAGATGCTTGGACAGGTAGTGATACGTAAGCAAGGATTAACGAAGGTCAACACACTCGATAGAGAAACTACTAGCTGCAAAGTTCAATATAATTCCCCAACATGTTTCAAAGTATCAACACACTCGATATTTAATTTTTAAGCATCGAGCATATAAAACCATGGATACACATTTTCTTTTTCATTTTTTCAATTCAACCATTTGAGAAAATATGTTTAAAGATGGGTTCCAATGCTTAAAACCACTCAAACCCCTTAAATACTTGCATTTAGAAGTGACTGTAAAACCTAAAATGTATCATATAATATGGTATGATGGGTATTGATACTTTGAGCCATATTCCCCACTTGGTTGGTTAATATTTTACCAGTTATAGAAGGGAATTTCCATTGCTATGTGGACATATTGGTTGATTCTATGGAAGACTGAATTCTTCAACTTTGTAGACAGTTGGTGGTTACAATCAAACGAAGATGTCCCCCCGTTAGCAATCCCTATTATATTCAAGGATTAACAATATGATATGCCCGATATGGGACATATTGTGTTGGTATTAATGTACCCAAATATGCTTGGATATATTGATATATAGGTTTTTTCTTTTAAATTTTAAAACTTCAAACTGATGGGTAGGATCCTTGCATACATATAAATAAAAACAAATTAAAAAAAAGAGTATCAGCAATATCAATACACACCGACACCCACTTGAGGGTATCGGACATATTGATATTTTAATCCTTGATTACATTGTAATGCCCATTAACCTGAAAAATGCTAGTGCCACTTATTAAGGGTGATGATGGCAATTTTTCACAAAACGATCCATAAGGAGGTGGAAAATTATGTAGATAGCATAAAACCCCACAAACAAAAAAAGACCACATCAATGATTTATGAAGTGATGTCGAACATTTACACAATCCACTCWCCGTTTATGTAATAAAAGGAAAGCTTTTGGATGTGGAACACAAAGGAGTGGGCCAGGAGAAAATGCAATCCTCAGCATGCACCACCCTTTAACCTTATGGAATAGAAGGGGATCGAGTGATGATTGTCTTATATCAGAAGGTTCATTCTTCAACAAGCTAACCAGACGGTCTTTAGAGTTCAGTCCCCCTTGGATTTTTTATTAGTTTTCCAGATGTATTTGCTCACACCCCTACGCACGCCATCCCCTGAATTTGGAATCTCCCGCCAACCCAATAAATACCCTAAGAATAAAAAAATAAAAAAAAAACAACTCAAAGAAGTAGATCACCTATTTTATCAATCCTTGAAAGTTGAAGCTGTACGTCACTGCAACTGTGTTTATAAACTAAATGGAATGGTATATTGGTTTTCACTTTCACACAGTCTTCTTAGTGGATGTCAACCATTTTATATATATATATATATGAAAATAATTGTATGGTTTTTCTGAGAATTAAATTATACACGAAAATTTTAATTCTATCATTTTTTTCTTATGTTTCCTAAGTTTTCACACTTCATATAAACTATACGTGTGTTTTATATGCATGTAAGGGGTGGCCATGAGCCGAGTTTCTTACGAGCTATTTGAGATTGGCTTGGCTCGATTTAAACTGAGTTTTGAGCCGAGCTCGAGCCTAATGAAGCTCGGCTTGTGAGATTCGCAAGCCTAATTGAGCCCAGTATAATAAATAAATAATTTTGTTATATATATACGTTGATACATACATACATATATAATGAATGATTTTTATAATTTTTAATTTTTGTATGTAAAATAAAAAAATATTTTTTATATATATAATTTTTGTTTTTTAAAAAAAGTTTGGCTTGCAATCGATTCGAATTCAAACTTGCGAACTTTTGAACCGAGCCGAGCTTGAGTTCAAGTCTCTAGCTTGAGCTCGAATTCGAGCCTAACACTATTTCAGCGAGCCGAGCTCGAATAGTCAAACATTCAGCTTGGGCTTAGATGTGAAGATTTCACAAAAGTACGTGTTTTCTTCTTAGCCTTGGGCTTAGATCCGGATTTATGGAAGAAAAATCACTTGTATCRAAGTATTTATATAATATAAGATGTGTTGATACATCATTCCTTCATCTAGATGATTCAATAAACAGATTGGAGACACTGCTCGCCAGCAATAGCAGTAGAAGATAGTAGGGATGACAATTTCACAGGAATTTAGGACAGGTTTGAGTTTTGACCTTAAGGTACCCAGTACCCAATACCCAATTATAAACCTATCTATCCATCTATCTATCATAGCCCGTTATAGGCATCTTTAGCATACTATTTCATTTTAATAGAGGCAACACATTTTATTTATGGAGAAGTATATGCCTGATTTCCACTGCAGAGCTATAAATATTCAAAATGTCAAAAACCCCCACTCTACACACCAAAGGCGCCCGTGAATTAGCATCAATTCTGAACTGACATTCTCCCTTTTATTTATGTGATATAAATTCCAAACCTGGGCTGAACTGTCATTCTCCCTTTTATTTATGTGATATAAAATCAGGCGCAAGAATCAAAGAAATGAAAAATGCAAAGAATATTGAAGATGTAATTAAAAAAATGTATTTATATTTTGGATAGATTTGGATCAAGATAGCCTTTCATAACCTCCGAGGCTCCAAGATCTTCACTAGTTGGAAGGAAAAAAAAGATTTTTTTCGGGTCACGACTTCCAGAGTCATATCATTTGACTGACACATTTTGCATAAATTGTATAAATTGCCTTATTGCCACACTTAGAATTCCCAATATTTTGAGCCTTGCTTCCAAACTTGTGAAGAGTAGAATTGAAATTTAAACTGCATATATTGTGCGCTGATGCTTGGCTTCCAATCTAGCATTTTATACAAGTATTTTTGGGTAGAATTTGTACAAGTATTTTGTTCATCAAATGTTCAAACATTGTTGTGACGGTCCAAAGACTAGCTTATCAATCAAACAATAGTCCAGTGTCTTTAAAGTTTCTACTGATAAAAAAACTAAAAAAAAAATAACTTCAACTCTCTGAATGGCTTTTCGAAACACATTTTTTGATAGTTATCGGACATTTTCGACAGGCACATCATATACAGAGTTTTGTATTCCATCCAAATGCGAATCTTCAGGGGCTTTAGGGAATCAAAAAACCAAAATGAGCAACCAACAACCCTAGTTTAACATCTTTCAAAAATCTTATAAAGTTTCTCCATTGAAGTCACCTGCAAAAGTCCAGTTGCAAATATTCATAATCATAAGCTTTATCTTCCAGTTGCAAATATTAATAAAAAATCTAGGATAGCCATCAAGAAAAGACCAACTTAGATGGTTATGGACATTGTGGTGCATGAGGGTAAAAAGGAAGAACCTGGACAAAAGTTCCATTTGTAGCCATTGAATTAGGTGGCTTCAGGAAAAGTCTCATTGACGGGAATAGTACATGTTGGATGTTCCATTCGCGCTGGGCCCATGCAGTCGCTGCCTCCGAGATCAATTCCTCATCAATCTCATTTTCCATGGCACTGTTATCCTCTGCAAAACCATTGACAAATACATAAGGTGAAAATAATCCAAGTTTAGACACCAAATAGTCAAAAAGAATACATATTTAATAATCACTATGAAAGAAGGAAAGGAGGTTGAGATTGGCTGGAAGTATTATTCATGATATTAGGACTTTAGTCACCAGGACCATGGTAAGGATAACATCACCATTTCAAACCACAATGCCAAGAATTTAGAGTTCAAATGCACAAAAAACACACTCAAATTCAAAGATTGCGGATCTGAAATATTTGGCATATAACACATTATAGAGGCTGTTGGGTTTTGAATCTTCATTTTCCACATAAGAATGTGTACATAAACCTGCTCCAAGCCTAGAAAAATTTTCCTCCAATTTGAGACTAGAGTTCACAGTTTATAAACTCATTCTCATATTCCTTCAGGCAATTTGGGGCATACAACATTGCGGGCCAATCAACATACAATTGTTAAAATATCATCATCATCATTCATAATTATCCCAAATATATAGGGTTGGTTACATGAATCCTGTTTCACCATTCTATTCTGTTTAATACCATATCAATTGCTAATATGCACTTAGGTCATTTCTTCCTATGTCGACCCATGTCCCTTTTGGTCTACCCCTAGCCCTTCTAGCCTCTTCAACTTGCAATGAATCACTTCTTCTTATGGGTTCTGTTGATGGTCTCTATGCACATGACCAAACTATCTTAGTCTACATTTTCTCATTTTATCACCTTTTGGAGCCACTCCTAGGATCCTTGAAATGACTTCATTTTTTATCCTATCCTTTCTAGTTTTTTCCATTCATCCATCTCAGTATTTGCATTTTTTTGGCATACTCATTTTTTGTGTGTTTTTTGACCACCCTACACTCTGCTCCATACAGCATAGCTGGCCTTACAACTGTTTTATAGAATTTCCTTTTAATCTAGTACAATTCACCTATCACATAAAACTCTAGATGCATTCCTCTATTTTGCCCACTTGCACTAATTCTATGGGTGGCATCTTCCTTAATCTCTCCCTTCTTATGAATTATCAAACCAAGGTACCAGAAAAGTTCACATCTTGGTCTCCACTCCCAAGTGTACCATGGTTTGCACTCCTATTATTATTAAACTTACATATCATATATTCTGTTTTAAGGATACTTATTTTTTTTGATCAATAACAGAATTATTTCATTACTAAAAGATGAAAGAAAAGTACAATACTAGGGGAGATAAACTCTCTCAACTCCCCCAGGGAGAAAGAAAGATTACAAAATAGCCCAGAACAACTGATTCCTTCCCATCCCTTGTTTGGCTAGTGCATTGACACACCTCTTTACCCACTGTAGTCTCACTGTCATATCCTGAGTCAACCTCTTGAAAGTTCTTTTTTCATTCAAGTAGCTCCACAAGCTCCTCTCCTACCGCTTTTTAGAGGTATTTGTCCATAAACTTAATTTTGCATTTGATAATTCATTAATTTTATCAATCAAAACAATGTCATCAGCAAACAATGTGCACGGTGCACCATGGTTTCTCCTCCTGATTAAGCTTTGTCGATTCATCTATGATTAATGCAAATAAACAAGGGTTAAGTGTTGAACCTTGATGAAGACCCATTCTTACTGTAAAATCTGATGTCCCCCACACGTGTTCTCAACTTCTCATTGGTTGTTGCACCCTCATGCATATCTTTGGAACCCCTTTCTTTCACAAGAACCATCATATTCTCTCCCCAGGAACTCTATCACATGCTTTCTCTGGATCAATCAAAATCATATGAAGATCTTTCTTTTTCTCTCTAAACTTTTCTACCATTGTAAAAGGAAGATAGATCCCATGGTTGATCTCCCTAGCATAACCCCAAATTGGTTCTCTAATATACTTATTTCATGTCACAATCTTTGCTCAATTTTTCTCCGAAAGTTTCATAGTGTATCTTATGAGTTTAATCCCCCCGATAGTTACTATAACTTTGTTCTTAAATATGAGTACCATACTACTCTTTCTCCATTCACGGGAAATTTTCTTTTCTTCTATTATCTTTTTAAAAAGCTTAGTTAGCCATTATAAGCCTACCTTGCCACACTTATATTGGAATCCCATTAGGTTCCAATGCCTTTCCCTTCTTCATCTTATTGGGCGCCTCTTTAACTTTAATAGTTCTAATTTTCCAAAAGTACGTCACTTTTAACAATATTAGTAATGCTAATCTTTCCTCTATTAGCATCCTTTATGTGTTGTTCATTTAACCAAAACAATTTGATCCTCCTCCTTAATGCACCTAACATGGTTTAAATCTCCCTTTTTTCCTTTCTCTCATCATTGATAAAGCTCTTCATATTCTCTAACTTTAACTTCACTTACTGTCTTTTTAGCTTCCTTTCTTATGATTTATATTTTCCTATTTTTTTTCCATTCCTAGTCTTTTGCTATTCTTTGTAACATTTTCATTTTAAACTAATTACATTTTGAACCTTTTCATTCCATGACCAAGTTTCTTTAGCACTTTTCCATTTCTCTTTTGATTTTCCTAAAATATCCTTTGCTACTTTTTTTTATGCAGTTTGTCATTTCAAGCCACATATGATTGGTTTTTCCATCTAAATTCCATTTTCTTTTTACTATCAATCTATAAATTCAGCTAGAATTTGTCCTTTTAGGTTTTTCCACCAAATTCTTGGACACCCATTTTCTTCTCTATTTCTCTTTTGTTTCCTAATGCACACATCTACCACCACTACTCTATGTTGTGTAGTTAAGATTTTTTCTAGAATAACTTTGCAAGTCTTACACCTTACACATCATCCATTCAATTTTCTTTTTTTTAGTAAGGAAAAAAATCTATTTTGACTTATGTTTGATCTACTTTCAAGTGTTATTAAGTGTTCATCCTTCTCAAAAAATGTGTTCAAAATTGCCATATCATACTACAAATGCTAAGATTGCATCTTCTATTTCATTCCTAGGGCACACAAAAACAAGAAACAGGTGAACAAACTGAAGGTAGGAGTAGAATAAAGATAAAAAACATGGATATTCAGTGCTGCTGCAATCCCCCACCCTCTCTCTCTCTCACACACACACACACACACAATATTGTGGAGTATAGCATTACTTTCACAATAATAAAGGGGATCATTGTTTCAGGCTCTGGGCCATGAATGAATAGTTTCTCATCTTTTGCATCAATACATGTGTTGAGTTATTTAATTGTTGTATATATCAGCCATTTTATTTGTCTGAGAGCATTCTAGTAATAGTACTGCTATATTAAAAATACAAATGAGGAGATAGATTGTCCAATAGATTTTTTCTCTCATTATTATTATTTTTTTTTGATAAATAAAGTAGTTCATTATACTAATATAAAAAGCAAGAAACTGATACAAGTATTCTTGGAGAGGTGTGAGCTGTGTACTCACTCACCAAGGCAACAGCAAACTATGACTGTGCCCAAAACAAACGATCCCTGGCTACCCCTTGCTTGGCTAGACAGTCAGCCATAGCATTGTCTGATCTCCCAATCCATTGTACTCTTACAATCAGACCCCTTGTTAACCACTTGAACCTCTTGGTTTCATTCTTACAACACCACATGCAGACTCTGGATTCTGTAGCAAACTGAACACCTTGAATTGCAGCTAACAACTCTGCCCTAGTGGAATCCCCAAATTCTAGGATGCCCGAGTAAAGAAGTACCATATTTCCAGCCTAATCCCTTATAACCCCTCCCAATCCAAGACCTGGATTGCCTTGACTACTTCCATCAAAATTCAGCTTCAAAACACCTACAGGAGGAAGTGCCTGGCTTACACTTACTCTAGCCTTTTGGGAAGARCTACTTGCCATTGCAACCCAATTTCTCCAAAATCATTAAAGGAGAAATGATGGAACATCTCAGAGGATTTCAACCACTGGACAGCCCTATTCAAGATGCATTCCTGTTCTTGTAGATTTCTCTCTTTCACTTGAACCACTCTAGCATTTCTCTCTTCCCAAACAGACTAAATCAACGCTGCTCTTGCACACCTCCACATTAATCTCCCTCTTACTTCAGCTGGCCTGTTCCACCTGCACCCAAAGAGCCACCCCCACAACTCTGCAGTGAAAGAACAAGAGTTTAGTAAATGGTAGCATTCTTCACCGTGGAACCTGCAAAGGATGCACCAATTAGGGGAGAGACAAAGGCTGAGTTTGGAAGGAGTACAAATGCAAATATGTAGAGTGCAAAACCTTATATTTTGTATTATTTTGTATGTATTGACGCTGTAAATATTTGCATTTGTACTGCTTCCAAACTGAGCCAAAGGAACGATCTTCTCTTTTGTAAATTACCCAAGGCATTCATTTTCTCATAGAACACTTCCCAACGAAAAGCCATAACCTTAGGAGGAATAGGCCTGCACCAAACTTCCTTGACAGGAAAGACTATTGAGAGGGAAACTGACAGACCTGAAGAAAGAAGCACTAGAAAAGGACTCTTTGGTTGTGGTGACAAAAACCATTTATTTGGTTTAGAGGATCCAAACAAACTTAAGCAAGAAGACTCAGTGGCCTACCAAGATACTCAATCTCCTCGTCCCTTAAACCTCCACAAAAATCGAAATCCCAGTTTGGTGCCAAGGGGTTTTCCAAAGAGGAGAAGAAATTTGAAATAACCTCTATTTTGTATTGAGAGATAAAGAACAAGGACAGGAAAAGGTCCTTCAAAAAATAACTGAGTTCCCATCACACACATCATAACTGACAAAGTTGAGAAACTGAGGGAGAACACTATGAATAGCCTTCCAAGGAGTTGCCAAGGTTGCCCGTTAAGATACACCAGCGTCCCACCCAGTCTCTGAGTGAACATGAACGCTTCCTATCACCTCATGCGACAATCTCTCTCTCTTTAAATTCCTTTGAACTTAGTTCCCCAACAAAGCTAAATTCTTTTGAACTAAGTTCCCCAAACCCCAACCCCCCTCCTCTTTACTCTAGCAAACCACCTCCCACTTGATTACTAGA